GACAGGTACAAAAGGCAGCTAGATGGCACACAAGGTACAAGCAGCAAAAGGATATTCTTATATCTTTGTGACCAGCTGAGGAGACAGGATCTGAACATCAGGAGAGTGAAATTCAGTGCATGACAAGAGTTATTTAATTGGATTTGTTTGTTTATTTAATTGTTCATTTGTCGTTTTAAAGTTGTTATCCTGATAGCTTGCATACAACAAGGATAGGTATTCTATTTATTTAGAATTGTGAGCAGAAGCATAAGAAGAAATGAAAACACTTTTTCTTTCTCATATTTTTAAATGCTTAATGGAAAAGTTTGCAAGAAATATAATACTTTGTATGCTGCACTTCTCACAGATGGTCTGAGATGCAGAAACAGATGGCTGTCCTGTATCAAGAAAAGATTTAGATCTTCTAGGTTGCGCAATTTTTTTAAAATTTTGACCACCAGTTGTGGAATTCTCCTAAATGAAATTACAAACTGCTTAGTAACACCATCTAAGGACTTATATGTACATACCTAAACACAATTATTGCACACAGCATATATCAATTGTGAGTTTTCAATCAAGCATTTCTCTAGACATAGATAAAAATATACCAAATAGGTTTCACAGATTATGGTGACTTGATTTGACTTAATATGCTCATGTACATGTTGCATTGCATCATTAAAAGTATGGAAATATTTTTCATGTCAGTGTTATCAACTGAAAGGAAAGGGACCCTGATAATCTGTCATTGAATTGTGCAACAATGTCAACAATGTTTTGCATTTTATGTTAACTTTTATTTATACAAAAAGTGCATTTTCCTATATTTTTAATCAAATGAAGATCAATTCATGAAGTGACTTGTTGTTATGCTACATTGGATATCATGAATTAATAAGTTTGAAAAATGCCTTGCTTCTGTGAATGTCTGGACTAATAATAAAATGTTGCTAATGTGAATGGTTGAATTCATAATAAAATGTTGAACTCTCAAACAACAGCCATGTTACATGTACTTCCTAATGAACCAAAATGAAGTACAAGAATGCTGAAATAATTTCTGACAGCTTCATGATGTTCAATCAGATTATATCTGACAGCAATATTTCTTGTTATAAGACAACCCTGCATACTGTCTTCTTTGAGTCCTAAAGGGTCGATCCCAATGGTCAGCTCTAATTTCTCCTTACATCTATCCTTTATGTAAAAAGTTGCTACTATGAAAGATTGAACTTATGATTACACATTAAACTCTCTAAAACTATAACTGTTATTATCCAGTGAACAAGAAAAATGAAGTACAAGATAACTGAACTAGCTTCTGACAATTCTATGGAGCGCCATTCACGCAAAAAATGCAGACGTCAATTCAACAATCTATCGGCACTATTTAACAGCCAAAACCTACTTTAACTATCTAAACTTAATTCTACTAAATTAGTTGTGGTCATTTTAATCATTCATCAAAATCTAACAATCAATAATAACGATTCAAAAGTCAGTTACTGCAACTCAACAATCTGTCACCACAACTCAACAATCAGTCACCGCAAATCAACAATCAGTTACTGCAACTCAACAATCAGTCACCGCAACTCAACAATGTATCAATGTATTTTTGCGTGAATGGCGTGAAAGCATGGTGCGCCATTCACGCAAAAAATACAGACGTCAAATCAACAATCTACTGGCACTATTTAACAACCAAAACCTAATTTAACTATCTAAACTTAATTCTACTAAATTAGTTGGGGTCATTTTAATCATTCGTCAAAATCTAACAGTCAATAAACGATTCAAAAGTCAGTTACCGCAACTCAACAATGCATTTTTTGCGTGAATGGCGCGAATGCATGGTGCGCCATTCACGCAAAAAATGCAGACGTCAACTCAACAATCAGTTGCCGTAACTCAACAATCAGTTGTCGCAAACGGTCTTTCGCGGACTTAACACCAGATGGCGCGCGCGCACCGTCAGCGATCTGAAACGTCCTTGACCTTTTCCATGTTTTCAATTCCGCATATTATGGGAGTACATGTGGTTCATCGTGTTCGTATTGTCATGATATAGTTAAGTATATAATAGTAGGATTGCGTTCAATCACATCATACTGAAATTAGATATGGCAATGAACCACACGTAGTTCCTACTCGAATAATATGCGGAATAGCACAGGTCTCAAACTACTGCGCATGCGCGATAAGTACGCTGTTTGAAATAAACAAATACATTTATTTTCTCTTTACAAATAGGGTAATTCCTTTCGCATTTATAGTGTTATATGTGGCACCAAGGGGATTTTCCACCCCTCCCCCACTCTTGATTAATAAAATTATCCATCGGGAGGAATGAAAATTATATTGCAAAATAGGCCTACATTAAAAATTGCAGATAATGCTGTGAGGATATTCTAGGGGGTCATGCCGATACTCCCCCGCACCAATACTCCCCCGCACCGTAACTCCCCCGTACTAATACTCCCCCGCACCGATACTTCCCCTTAGTAAATTTTTGCATTATGCACGTCGATACGACCTCACACCGATAGATCCCCGCATCGATAAATCCCCTCTAGAATTGCCGTTATACGCGCACCGTTGCTCCCCGCAACGATAGGCCTACTCCCCGCATTATTACTCCCCCTATGCAATTTCCACGAAAC